GAGACAGAGTTTCCGACCTCCCCTCGCCTGCCAGGGAGGAGCAGGAGGAGGAGGCGAAGGAGGAGCAGCAGCAGCAGGAGGAAGAGAAGGAGAAGGAGGAGGGGAAGGAGGGGGAGGAAGGAGGAGGAGGAAGGAGGAGGAGCAGGAGGAGGAGGAGGAGGAGGAGGAGCAGGAGGAGGAGGAGCAGCAGGAGGAGGCGGAGCGAAAGTGAGGAGGGGCGGCGCCTCGCCGACAGCCGAGGCAGCCCGTGGGCACGGCCCCGGCCGCGCTCGGCGGCCTCGAGGGCGCCGGGGCCGGCCGCCGTGCGCCGCCGTGCGCCGCGATCCTCTCTCGGTCTTCCCTGCCCTGCGCACTGCGGCCCTCGAGGCTCGGGGGCCGCAGTGCTCGGGGCTCGGGGCTCGAGGATGCGTGGGGCCAGAGGATGCAGGGGCACTGCAGGCCCCCGAGGCTCGGGTCCCGCAGTGCTCGGGGCTCGCACTGCGGCCCCCGAGGATGCGTGGGGCTCGGGGCCCGAGCCCCACGCATCCTGGCGTGCCCCGCTTAGCCGGGGAGGCGCCACGGCGTCACGCCGTGCAGGCATCACGACGTCGCGACGCCCACGGGCTTCTAGAACACAATTCCAGAGCGCACATCCGGAATACATATGCCAACTGCACACACCAACACACATCCAGGGCATAGAGCAATAGTAATAGGTCTCTCATGTCCCTTTACAGAAGGAGTACTCAAGAGGAGTAACACATAGTCAGGTCACCATTGTTCGTGTTTTATGTATTAGTTGTGAGTCAGTTCGGTTATTTTTCATTGTTCTTGCAAACCCGCCTGTAGGAGGACATGCCCGACCTGACAATAGCAGACCACCACATATTGCGCAAGCACCAATAACTCACTGCACGAGCGTGCGCATCTGCCTGTCTGTGTAGGCATATGTATCAGCTCCATGCGTCCATGTCATACAACCCACCTGCATCTAACAGCTATTCCAAGAAGAGCATCACGAACATGCGGGCGTACTTTGGGTCCGATACTTATGTCGGTAACAGCCAGCGGTTGTACTCGTCAAGGCCATGCGTCAATTCATGCATCACTAACAGACACGAGAAGGTGTACCAACAACGTGCACGCACAGCTCACACGAATGATAAGCAGACGAAGGACACAACAAGGGCAACCACCGGTTGCATCGACACAGCAAGAACGCAACAGCACACGAGCAACACTGCAGTAACACCCACCAATACCACACGCCAATTACAAGCACCAACCGCATGGTATCAATAACGAACAGCCGCGACTAGGCAGAAACCTCCTACAACAGTCGAGCACCAACTGCAGGAAGCCATAACGAACAACGTTCACCGAAACCATACGCCAGCTACATACCATCAGCATCAGGCAGCAAGCACATGTACTAGGAATGCAACCCAACTGTCTACATCAATCCAAACATCACGCACGCACAGCGAAAACAACTTCATAACCAGACGTATATATACATATATATATATATATATCATTGAAAGGAGGGGTACCACCACTGACACATGACAACCGTACTCCTAATATGAATTAGGAATGCTAACCTGTGCATCCAGATGTAAGGCTCATGCAATCACGCAGCGATCGTACATCAGTAACAAAATGTCATACCAGAACAACGCGCAAAACACATGAGCTGGCATGCATCATCAAGTATGTTGCAGAACGCGTTGTATAGTCGCACGCACCGACTTCGACACCATTCGCAGTAGCTTGCTGATGGGGATCGCCCGAACCAGCGTAATTGATTTCTGTCTGTAGCTGTGCTGGCCCAGGGCAAAATCAACGAGCCGTTCCCCGGCCCGTTCTGTCTCTCCCCCGTCGCGCACCCCAGCCGTCCGCGATGGCACGCAGCAGCAGCCCCCTCGTCGCGGTCGTGCTGTGCACGGCGCTGCTGTGGGCGGGCAGCCACACTTTCGTGCCGCAGCCGGCGCAGCGCTCGGCGGTCGCTGCAGGGGGTGCCGTGGTCGGGCTGGGCCTGTCCCAGCTGCCGGCGCTCGCTGTGGAGGGCCAGGACGCCATCGGCGGGAGCAGCGTCGCCCTGGCCGGCGGAGAGGAGGCCCTGTTCTACGTCGGCATCATCTTCATCACCCTCATCACCCTGGTCCTGGCCGTGGTGCTGCGTGAGCCGCCGCGCGTGTGATGTGCCCACTGCTCGTCGGCTATCCCGGTCGCGCCCTTCCTGCGTGTCCTGTCGTCCTCCTGCTCTTCCCTCCCCCCCGTAACCTTTCACGAGGATGCCTCCTCTCTCCTTCTAGACCCTCGCCGAAAGGATCATCTGACCTGCCGCGCGTAGCGTCAGCGCCCACTCTTGGCCTGGCCAGTTTTTTATTCATCCGTCATACTCGACGTTTCAAGGGGTGGCGCACGAAAACCGCCTACAGGCGTTGTTGTTCACTGATCTCCTGCCCTCGCCATCTCTGCCCCTTCTTCTCTGCTCACCGTACGCCTCCCTTCTGCTGCCACTGTTGTTTGGACTCATCCTTGTCTCAATCACTACCCCTCCCTATTTCAGGCAGCCCTTCTTCTTTAATGTCGCGAAGGAGCCTCCACTGCATCGTTCTCGAGTCGTTCTCCCTTCTCCTCCGATCTGCCATGCTTGACTAGACGCGTTGAAATGCCTTGCTATGCATCGCATATCCTTTCGGGATTGCAAGGGTAAGGGATAGGAGGGAGGGGTAGGACGTCCCATATGACGCGAGCGCATCTAGAATATCCTCCCCCCTCCCCTCATCCCCCACTACCTCCCTCCTTCAGCAAATATGCAAGATGAGCACTACTCTCTTTCCTCCATCGACTACATCCTAACATTATCCAGCTCTCTTCGCATCTGGTTGCTTACAAACACCTGGTGGCTGTTACATATTGTTTATGTGGTCTGCGTGTCGTTTCAATCGGAACGTTGTCAGTGTTTTCAAATCGTATTCCCGCTGAAGCTTGGCCTCATGTCTTGATCGGCGTTGTTCCCCTGTTGTTCAGAGTGGCGCTCTCGACCCAGCGCGGGCCACATGTCTGGATCCAAGTGCCTCCTCGTCACTGTCGCTCCTTCCTTTTCCCTTCCCCGTAGTCCCTTGGTCCTCCTGCTCCTCCCGTTCCTCCTGCTCCTGCTGCTGTTGTTCTTCCTCATTCTCCAATCTGCTCACCAAATCCTCCCCCCCTCCTCCTGCCCATCCTCCTGCTCATCCGCCACTTCCTCCTCATCCTCCTCCTCATTCTCCTCCTCCTCCTCCTCAAATATACACAGGTCCCCTTTTTCAGATTGCCCATCTCACGCTGAGGTGCTTTTGGGGGGTTCCAGGTCCGCCATGACACCTGTCGGCGGATAGACAAGACTCGGCGCAGTGGGAAGGCATGGGTGGGAGGATGTCAGATATGGATCGAGCGCACCTGGCTTGAATTACCCCCCTCTCGTCTCTCCATCCCCATTCCCACGGTCTTCCCCTATTTCACGCCTCTTCTTCCTCCAAACACCTTGCCCATCCCCATACCCCCCCATCCACCCAACCCCCCCCCGCTCAAGCTGCACCCCCAATCCCACCCCCCCGTTCTTGGCGGAGGTCCAGTCTTCGAGCGGCTTCGAGATAGGAGACGTCATCACGATATCGCATCCCGCCGACGACGGGTACTCGGAGGATCGGGCGGGATGGAAGGCCCGCTCGAGGAGGGGGGTGGGGAGGCGTGGAAGAGAACGGGGCAGGGGGAGCAGTTGGATCGCGAGACGACGAGGTGTGCACGGCAGGGCAGCTGCGAGGAGGGATTGGGGCAGGGGCAGGGGCGGGACGCAGCCCAGAGGACAGAGGAGACGGGGGGCAGCGGGCGAGCTGGAGCGGTAAAAGGGCCCCACTTGGGAGCCAGTGCCAACCCCCAGGGAGCGTCCAGGGTGTCGTGTGCCCAGTGGCGCCCGTGGCCCTCAGACCCGCGGCCCCCACCAGAATGGATGTTCTTCCGTGGCTCGCCGCCCAGCCTGCCCGCCGCTCCAGACTGCCAGCAACCTGCAGCGTTGCAGCGTGGTGACGGAGGGATCCGCCCTTCCACCAGGGGCTGGAAGAAGGGAGTGGTGAGCATGAGCAGTTGGAGGCTACTCTGGGCCATACGCTGCCCAAGTGGCCAGTGGGATTCCAGCCACGCTGGGGCTTTTCGTCAGCCATCTCGGCTCAAACCGGAGGCGGGCAGGGGAGAGGATGGAGGCACGGAGTGACATTTGTGACTGGGAGGAGGGGGATGTGCGGCAGCGCTACTCTTTCCCTCGAGTGTTTGTCTGCTCTAGTACATGCCGCCGTCCCGCCGAGGAGAGAGAGATAGTAGACATGGGCTCCATCATCCTCAACAAACCACTCGAGCACCAGTATCCCATTGGCTCGAAGGTCAAGAAGAATGTGCTGACCGCTGGGGAGGAGACCCACGAGGAGGAGGAGGAGGAGGAGGAGGAGGGGGAGGAGGAGGAGGGAGGGGAAGGATGATGAAGAGGAGGAGGAGGAGGAGTCCACCAGGGAGACCAAGGAAACGAAGAAGGGGGTGAAGAAGAAGGAGAAGTATTATCCCAGTTGCGTTCATCCCCTCGATGGTGCTTGCACTTCCAGTGCACGGTTGGACTGTGTCGTTTTGATTTGTTTGCCAGTTGAGCCTTGGGCTGTGATCTGGCGGCAAGTGCTCCCTTTCCCTCTTCCTGTCTCTCCTTATCATCTTCCCTGCGAGTCTTTCGGATTCTGCTAGTTTTGATGGCTTGTGCCGCCGTTGAATGTTGTCGTGCGTTCCTGCGGGGCAGGAGTAACAGCGCTTCACAATACCTCTCCGTGTTTTACTTGGTTTGCGTCCACGGGTGGCGTTCAGCTTTTTCGCACTGCGTTACCCGGGGCTTCTAGGATGCACCACGACGCCTGGGGTTGGGGCTGCGCTGCGTTGCGGACAAGTTTCGTTCATCCTTTCGGCCTTTGGTTTTGCCCTCGTGCTCGTCGACTCTGCGGCTGGATGGTTGGTGCAGACCGCCGATCGCAATTATTCAAGAGATTCTGGCCAACGACGACCATTGGAATCTGGGACCAACGCTGACGGAACAACGCGCGATTTCGCCCGTGAGAATCACAGATGATGCGTATTATCTCTCTCTCTCTCTCTCTCTTTTGTTCTCTCTCTCCCTCTCTCTCTCTCTCTCTTTTGTTCTCTCTCTCTCTCACACTATCCCCTGCATTACAAAGGACGGGTGACGCGCAGGTTTGCGCGAGGATTTTGGATGCTACGTTGCGGTGCGCACTGGAAGCGTTGCAACACATAGTTTTACCGTTGCGTATTGGGTCGGTCCCACCGTCGTTTGATTGCGTTGCGCAGACCGCCAGTCGTAATGATGCAAGAGGTTTTGGCCCACGACGGCCATTGGAATCTGGGTCCAACACTGACAGAACAAACGCGTCATTTCGCTCCCGAGATTCACAGATAAGGCGTATTGTTTGGCATCTCTTTCTCTCTCTCTCTCACCCGCTCCTGAAATACAGGAGGGGGAGTGAGGGGCATGCCGAATTGAGGACTTGTGACACGTAAGGTTGCGTGTGGATTGTGGATGTTTTGTTGTGTTGTGGGTGCAATGCGTAGTGCAAGCGTTGCAGCCCTACGTTTACGTTACACCATAGCGTATTGGGTCGGCCCCACTATCGGACCATTGCGTTGCGCAGAGTATTGCGAAACATACCAGATGCGATGCGGCACAGCAGAGGAGAGCCAACGCGTGAAAATGGCACATCCCGATGCGGAACATAACATATCAAGACAACAGCGAAACGGTTCATATTACAGCCAGTGCACCACGCTCTTTGTATAATCTCTCTCTATCTCTCTTTCTGATTCGTGGTGCCACCTGGCTGTCAGCTTTAGCTCAGCTTGGATTCGAGCACCCTCCCCGCCGCTGGCGAGGACGCGGCGCGGAGACGGCGATCTGCAGCGTCATCTTCCCCAGAGCCCACAGAGGATCCCTCACCAGATCCTACTCCGGCGCCTCCCAGGCCAGTAGAGGACCCAACGGCAGCTCCCACGCCGAAGCCGGAGGGCGACTCTGCGGCAGCCATCTCGCCGAAGCCGACGCCCGAGGCGGCGCCGAGCTGCTGCAGCCGCCGCCTCCGCCGCCGCCTCTCCCTCTGCTTCCGCCTCCTCCCCATCGGGCGGCTCCTCCTCCTCCTCCTCCTCCTTCTCCTCCTCCTTCTCCTCCTCCTCCTCCTCCTCGTACCGAAGAAGAGCAACAGCTGCATAAACATACATCTTCGGAGCTCGTGGAGCTCCGCAGGTTTGTGTACATGCCGTGCTTTGTTCCTCGATCCTCCTTGTCTAGTTGCTGTCACAGGGCGGGGGATTGCCGAAGAGAAAGCGGCCAGAGAGGCGGTGGGATGTGCATGCTGAGGAGGAGGAGGAGGAGGAGGAGGAGGGAGCAGGCGAAGGGAGAGCAAGGAGGGGGGGTACGTAGGGCAGGAGCAGCTGGAGATGCACCTGCACCATGCTCAGTCCAGTGGCGTTGATCGAGTCAGATTTAGTGATATGGCCGCGGATACGGCTTGGTAGTTGCTCCCGGCGTTGGTACATTTCATGTTGGTAATTGGCGCATCGTATACCTGACCAACAGCCGTGGCGCTAACTAGTCAGCATTGAGCGCCCATGACTGACATCGTGGCCAGCCACAGCAGCACTGAAAGCGAGCAAGTATCAGCACTGAGAGGAGACTCGCAAGCACATACGCTGGCACGTATAGCGTCTAGCGCATCTGCTGGCAATAACCACAACGAATCGATGAGATCAAATGTCCTCTGCGAGTGAAACGGAGAGCCCGAGGCCTGAGGGAAGCGAATGGAGACGCCTCTGGTTGGATATGCAGTTGTTCGATTTTGTGCCAAGGAACTTGATATACTGCCGAGTGCACAGGCCATACTTTCTTGGGCCGTGAGGGGCCAGCTAGCGCGATGGAGAGGCACATTTCTGCTTTGCATGTGTTGCCTGCAACTGTACAAATGTCAGCCAACGGAGAGTTGCAGGTGGAAGGTCATCGGTTATATTAAGGCATCATGGAGTTGACATCCACAAAGAGCGGGTTCTCCGTGCAAGACGTGAGGCAGCGACATCTTGGCGCACTAGTACGGGACAAGGTCTGACTGAGTGTAGGACGCACTTGCACCCTTCATTCGCCTGGGACCGATCGAAGCCGTTCTCCACAAAGGCATCCACTACCCATTGGATCAGTTGCAATTCATCCTCACTGCGCGGAACGAGGTGGCTTAGATTTGCTTGCGGCGATCTGTCGCATGGCCGTCGCTGGCACAGCAATCCCTCCTGAGAGACCGCGTCGTAAGAAGCACAGCGGCCCTGACAGCTCACTCGCGTGCCCGAAGACACAGGGCGTGAAGGTTTGCGTTTGTTGGCGAGGTCGGCCCACGACTCCAGCATCCGCGCTCCTGCACAAGAGAGGACACATGAGCAGGGAGGCAC